ATAATTCTATTTGTCTCAAGCCCTCCTTCACACACACACACCCACCCCCCCCCAATTCAAAATACAACATGCTAAGAGCTCTCCCACACTTTAAACATTGTTTGCTTCCTTTGGAAAACTATTTGTGACTTTATAGCCTCTATTTGTGTTATCTGCATAGGTCCTTTCAAAACAGTTTGATAGAAATCGTTCTGTTTTATGATACCCAACGAAAATTCCACATAATATTTATAAGCAAAGAATAAAATTTTAGCATGGGAACCAATGCTTCTTCATTTATAGGTGAAGAAATTAAAGACCAATACAGTTTGTCATTACACAGCTTTGTCCCTTTCTCTTGCCCCCCCCCCTTTATTTTTGCAGATTATGTAGCTAACTCAATCATTTTTGGCTCCAAAGCTCTAGATCCCTTCATGTGTGCATTTTTGGTGAGAACAACATTAGCCTGTTTAGATGAAAATGAAATAACAATACATTTCAAAATCTTCTATATCCATATTTTTCACTGTGGATTCTTGTCTGTGTTGCATTCTATCCTTTCTCCCTTAGTGGGAAGTAGGAAGAAGAAGGCACAAACTGCATGGAGATAAAGCCTGTCAAATAATTTTATTTTTTCAGATCTTTTTCACATATATAGCATTGAGGACTTTTCATCAGACTGAATATACTTGAAGACAAGACAGAAGGGTTTTGAATGTTGATAGAAATTATATATTGATTGTCTTTTTGCTATTCTGGTTGCTTCATTAAAAAAAAAATTATTTGTTTCTCTGAATCTATCTATAAAAACACATTGAAGAGATTTCAGTGTAAATTGGGTCGACGGTCTAAGCTTTCCACAAACAGATGATCATAATGGATAATGGAATGGCAAAAACATCAGATTCATTTAAAATATCGAAATGTACTTCTTAGCTTCAATTCAGAATATGTTTGTGTAGGTGCATATAAACATATACATTATATGGAGATCTTGCTGTAAACCGATGCAAGAGAGTGCATACAGAAGACCGAATATTACTTAAAGCTAAAAATAATTAGAAGTATGATAAACGTGGGTCTTAATGGAAAAAGAAATAAAATTCATCAGCTTAAGTAGAACCCCCATTGGGAAAATGCCTTACTCTAATTGCGGAAAATAAATACCAACAATTGCTATTAAAACTTAAATGGAGAGAAAGTCTACATGCAGAAAAAGATCCTAACATCTCGATCTGGGTTTTTACATTTCTTTAGAAATAAAACATGTAGTGTGTAGTAGGTAAAAAAATAGCAATAAAATAAAAACCACAGAAGAAAGATTGGGGTTGTGGTCTGACCAAGGGTCAGCCGGATTACACATAAGTAGTATTGATGTTGGCTTGTGAGTGGATTTGGATTCATTAATGCATTTATCTTCGGCCTGGTAGTTATTTGGAATTATCTGACTGAAGTAAAAGCCAGGAAGTGATTAATTTAAAAAAAGTCAAAGAAGCAGAATAAAGTGCGCCCTGCCAGTTTTCTGCCTTTCTGAGTATATGGAGCAAACTGCAGACGGGCTCCTATTGTCTGCTGTGTCTGATTGCCCTTTCTGTGAATGCCAAAGGCAGACAGTTCAGCTGACTCCCAAAAAGGGGTCTCGAAACCAGTTCCCCTTTGCTTCCCTTGGAACAGACTTCTGCCCCAAAGACGCAGGGCACGCGGCTGCAAGGAAGGAGTGGACTGCAAACACACACACAGACACACACACACACACACACACGCAGCCACACTGGCACAGCCATGCCTAGAGCTGCATATTTCCCTTAAAATTATATATAAGTGTGTGTGCATGTGTTTCGTAACTCATGCAAAAACACCCACTTCAAACTTCTCATAATATTTTACCTATTCCCTTCCCCCCCCAATTATTTAATCAAGAGTTATGTTGCAAAGTGCCTCTTATGCCCACCGCATGCTTAACCAACTTCCCCCCTTAGCATTTTTTATGATAAGCATTCATTTTCATTTCTCAGAAGTATTTGGTAGGAACATTTTAATGATTATCTTAAATTTGTATTTCTGCCTGCTATTATACCCCGTGTTGTGAAGGAAATAAATATTCTGATTTATGGCAAAGTACATGAGAGTACAATAACAATGATGCAAAAATAAAACCCAAGCCTTTAGAAGTTGGCTTAGAAAGTGTAAACTATCACCACAAGAAATCTATCAAACTTTACAGTCCCTCTTATACTGTTTCCCTTCTTTTGGTGTAACTTAAGTCGAAGAATTATGGAATGATATTATATGCCTTGAGGTGGTATTGAAAAATGGTGGTCTAGTTATTCCTACCCCCAACATAGAATGAACACACACACACACACACAGGTATTCTCCCTTTGTGTTTGAGCTCAGAAATTAAAGTTGGCATGAATAATTTCCTCCTACAGTATTCACGGTCCTGATCACATTACGTTTATCACACACTGTTTATGTCTGTCTATAGATAAATATCTGCATATATGCAGCTATGCACACAAAAATATTCATGCAGTGTCAAATTCTTCAATTAAATAGACCAACTGAGGCAGGCGGGGAACAATGCAGCCCGTGGTCTGTCTTAGGATGAAAAATGAAAAACATATATCTCATTTGCTATATGATATAATTCCATTTTCACTTTGGAAGTTAAGCATGACTTTAATCTGGGGACAGAAAAGGATCCTTTTTTAATGCTTTCATATCATAGAAATGCAAAGCACTTTGCCTAATTAGCATACTAATGTTATTGGTATCAGCATTTTA